AACCTGGGCTTTTCCTGGCCCTTGGTAGTTGGCATGAGAGTGACTCCTGGGGCAAGCCGGAAGGAAGGAACAGAGCAATGGAGAAGCAGGGTGTTCAACTCTGTTCACTCTGATTTTAAAAGGCCCTTTGGCAAAGTCTCATGAATCAGGCAGCCAAGGAGACAATGATTGGATGAGTCAGCTGGGGCTTTGGGTATTAGGTGATTATGATGATAAATGAATATATAATATAAATGACTTTATTTCAAAAGCTACCTTGGATCACACTCCATTTCAGTTTTCTACCCTTGACACTCTGGCCTTGGGAAAAAGCTTTTTCATTATTGGCTCTAAATAAATGGAAAATACCCTCCCTCCATCCATCCCTTCCATTCTCCCTCCTTTTCTTGCTTTCATTCATTCAACAGATTGCCTGTTTAACAGGAGCCAGGCCCAGAGGGTAAAACAGCAAACACAACATGCTTGATTCCAGTGCTCATGGTGCTTACAGTAGTGATTCTCCCCCATGCCCCCACCCTTTGTCCCTGAGGCAGGAATCCAAAGGGTCATGGAGCCATTCCAGGGATGAGAACCCATCCCCGCATCTAAGAAAAAGTTTCCTTTCCTTGAACACCCTGTTTCGTCATATAAATAAATGTAGGACAGAAAAAGGAGGCACCTATCAGATACTGTTGAGTACCTGCTCTTAGACTGCCTTTGAGGCTTCTGTCCTTTGACTGGGTACCCAGGCTTTGGAACCCGGCACTGATGTGTCTTTTAGTGCAGCCTGGGGGTGACAGAGCAGCTTGGCCTAGAAGAGAAGTGCTGTCTCTAAATATCCCTAAGCCTTTCCTGTGGGAGAGGAGGTGTTCTGGGGAACAGTGGACCACTGTGTTGAAGCTAGAAAAAGTTGACATCTGTAAAAAGACAAATTTTATAAATCAGTGCTTTCTGCAAATGGAATGAGCTGACTTGGAGTTAGCAAGTGCCCGTCTCTCGAAGGCCATTAGCAAAATGGGACATGGAGTGGGAGTTGGAATTATATGACCTTAGAGGTCCCCACTGCTAACTCAAGATTCTGTGCCTGGAAAAACTCTCAAGAAATAAGTAGGGATTATCCCACATATATACTTACCTGCACATGTGTACAAAGATGTATGTGGAGCAGTATTCATTTGTAGCACTATTTAGGATGAGAAAAAATTGGAAACTACACACGTGCCTGTCAGGGGATTTGTGAAATAAATTACTGAATTACTATACAATGGATGACTGTATATCTCATCTGTTAAAAAACCTCATAAAAAGAATGCTGCTTATGAACTGTGGAAGGAACTCCAAAACCAAGGTGCAAAAACCATCGATGAAATGCCTCTGTCAGTATGGGAGGTGGAGTATGTTCATATATTTGTTTACATATGAATAGAATAGATCTGGAAGGATACTCAAGAAACTTATTATACTGGTTGCCTCTAGAGAGGAGAATTTGGCAGCTGGAGACCAGGGTGGGAAGGATTCTTTTCTCTGAAGAACTTTTGTATCTTTTGAATTTTAATTCATGTGGCTGTATTACTTGCCAAAAAATAAATGTAAGTAAGAATGCTTTTTAAAATTTTTTAAATAAGTTCTACTAGGCTGGAGCTCTGAGGACAGCAGAGAAGTGGAAAGCAAACTAACCTTTTATTGAGCAACTGCTGTGAGCCAGTCTTCCACCTGATGCTTTATTGTACATGATGCTTTTAATCCGCACAACCCTTTATGGGAGGCAGTATCTATGGCCACTTTTTTTTTTATTAAAGTATCACTGATATACAATTTTATGATGGTTTTACAAAGGCAACACAGTTGTTCAACATTCACCCATATTATCAAGACTTCACCCCCTCCATTTCTATCACTGTTTATCAGCGTAGTAAGATGTTACAGTCATTAATTGTATTCTCTGTGCTCAACTACATCCCAGTGTCCTGCCTTTATTGTGGTTGTGAATTATAGTGTCCATTAATCCCCTTCTCTCTCCCCACCCATCCTCCTCAATCCCTCCCCTTTTGTAACCACTAGTCCCTTCCCAGTGTCTGAGTCTGCTCCTTTTTTGTTCCTTCTGTTTTGCTTTGTTTTTATACTCCACAAATGAGTGAAATCATTTGGTATTTGTCTTTCTCTGCCAGATTTATTACTGAGTGTAATACCCTCTAGCTCTATCCATATTGTTGCAAATGGCAGGATTTCTTTTCTTTTTATGGCTGAATAATATTCCATTGTGTATATGTATCACATCTTCTTTATCCATTCAGCTATTGGTGGACATTTAGGTTGCTTCCAGATTTTGGCTGTTATAAATAGTGCAGCAGTAAACATAAGGGTGCATATGTCTTTTCGAATCAGGGATCTTGTTTTCTCCTGGTAAATTCCTAGGAGTGAAATTACTGGGTCAAATGGTATTTCTATTTTTAGTTTTTTGAAGAACCACCATATTGCTTTCCACATGTCCCCACTTTTATAAATTTTTTTTATAAAAAGGAACTAATTTACTTTCCCACCAGCAGTGTAGGAGGGTTCCCCTTTCTCCACAACCTTGCCAACATTTGTTGTTGTTTGTCTTTTGGATGGTAGCCATCCTTAGTGGTGTGAGGTGATATCTCATTGTGGTTTTAATTTGCATTTCTCTGATAACTAGCGATATGGAGCATCTTTTCATGTGTCTGTTGATCATCTGAATTTCTTCTTTGGAGAACTGTCTGTTCAGCTCCTCTGCCCATTTTTTAATTGGATTATTTGCTTTTTGTTTGTTGAGGTGTGTGAGCTCTTTATATATTTTGGGTGTCAAGCCTTGATCGGATCTGTCATTTATGAATATATTCTCCCATACTGTTGGGTACCTTTTTGTTCTATTGATGGTGTCCTTTGCTGTACATAAGCTTTTCAGCTTGATATAGTCCCACTTGTTCATTTTTGCTTTTCTTTCCCTTCCCTCCCTTCATATGTTTATGAAGAAGTCACTCATGTTTATGTGCAAGAGATTTTTGCCTATTTTTTTTCTAAGAGTTTTATGGTTTCATGACTTACATTCAGGTCTTTGATCCATTTCAAATTTACTTTTGTGTATGGAAATAGACAATGATCCAGTTTCATTCTCTTACATGTAGCTGTCCAGGTTTGCCAGCACCATCTGTTGAAGAGACTGTCATTTCCCCATTGTATGTCCATGGCTCCTTTATCATATGTTAATTGACCATGTATGTTTGAGTTAATGTCTGGAGTCTCTGTGCTGTTCCACTGGTCTGTGGGTCTGTTCTTATGCCAGTACCAAATTGTCTTGATTACTGTGGCTTTGTAGTAGAGCTTGAAGTTGGGGAGTGAGATACCCCCCCACCCACTTTATTCTTCCTTCTCAGGATTGCTTTGGCTATTTGGGGTCTTTGGTGTTTCCATATGAATTTTTGAACTATTTGTTCCAGTTCGTTGAAGAATGCTGTTGGTAATTTGATAGGGATTGCATCAAATCTGTATATTGCTTTTGGCAGGATGGCCATTTTGATGATATTAATTCTTCCTAGCCCCGCTTTTAAAAATTTAACAAAGGTTTTGCAGGGGAGTTACCCACCTGTCCCTTCTAGTTCCTTCCCTGTTGTTCCACGCTACCTGCTGAGGGAGGGGGCACTGCGAGTGGGCAGGGACAAAGAAAGTGATACATCAGGAAGGGAAAGAAGGGAATGCATTTTGTTTCAGGGGCAGGGCAGACCTGCTAGCCTATGGGCTGCAGGGCTGACATGAGAGGCACACCTCTGGGTCAGAAGTATTGTTTGCTTTGCTTTTGCTGAGCTCCAGGATGGAAGTCACAGCATGCCCTAACAGGTAACAGGTAACCTGAACCAGCAATCATTTCTGTAGCTGGAGGAAAATAGCAGCAGCTCCGGACCACAAAGAGAGGCGATGCTTGGTCTGTGCTCTTCTGCTGGGTGTCAGATGTGCCATCTCAGCCTGCCAGCTGGAGGCTGGCTGGTGAGTTGTTTTCTGATTGTCAGAACTGGACTCCTCACTTGCACTTAAAGGAAAAGGCATCCAAGCCCTGGTACAAAAGGTCCTCTTACCATTTCCTTGGAAAAAGCAGTGGATGAGCTCATTATCACTGCAACCCAGAAAGGAGGAAGAGGGAAGGAAGAGAATTAGCCTGTTCCTCTATGCCCTGCCCTGCCCCTGGCCAGGTTTCCTGTGGTGGAGGCTTGGATCTGGCTCAGGTTGACCAAACCCAGATGGCTGGGGCAGGTGGTCCATATCTATGCTGGAGACACTGGATGCTTAGAGACCAGCTCTGTCTGCTGTGGGCCACAGGAAGGACGAATGTCCCTGCCCTTCTTATTCCCTGAATGCAGAGCTCTGTCCAGGACTGCTGACCTCCAGGGAGCAAAAGATCCTCCCGTCAGAGTTATGTGCCTGCCTCACTTTGGCTTCCAAGAGGTTCCTGTGTTGCGGTGCTCTGCTGTCTTAGCTCTAGAAGTTGTCCTCCTACCTCAGCAGGCTGCCGTGCTGCATCAGTTAATCTTGAATGCTTATAGTTTGCCAGGCACTGCTCTAGGCACTTGAGGTAAAACATGAAACAAAGATGGCTGTTTCTACTCTTATGGCATTTAAATTCTAGTGTGAGCAGTGAAACATGCCAGGTCAGATCGATCTGCTGGGAGATCAGACCCTCTGCCCAATCAGCTGGACAGAGAGAGCAGGGTTGGTCGTGGAGGGAGTGTTGTGGTGATAAATGCCTCAGAACGAAGACTCTGGCATTCCCAGCAGCTGAAACAAGATTGTTACCTGCTCACTCCCTTCCGAGTGTGTCTTTAGGCCCTATTGAGCTGTGGCCAGAGAAGGGCCTTTACTGATCTGAGTGGCAAAGAGTTCTGATACTTTGCAGGTTGGTGCTGGACCTTGGAATCATCTGGAAGAGACCTGGGGACCACCCCCAGTGCACTAATGGTGAGCCTGAGCCTGACAGCCTCTCCTTTTTGTTCTTCTTTCTTCCATTTCAGATTGAGAAAATCATGAGCTCTATTGGAGAAGGGATTGACTTTTCTCAGGAACAGCAGAAGACCTCAGGTATTGTACCAAGCAGCCATTTTTCCATGTGAAACACAGACCTTTGGCTCCTGTCTGGCTCAGGTTTTTCCTCTGACACAGAAGACAGACATTTAGGGGTTGAGAGAGTTTGGCCTTGGACTGCCTCATTCTCTTATAATTCAAAATTTGATCTACCTAGACAGCCCATCTAGCTGAGATTTTTAGAGCCATGACTCCTTTTATATATTGCAAGGGAAAGTGTATACATTGAATTTTAGGCTGCCTCCTAGGAAGCTTTGTCTTAAAACATGAACAATCGTTACATATTCATAATTATTTTTGTAAATGAAGGTTTTCTCAGGTTGGCTTAAATTGAAGTGCACCTTAGTGTGGGTTTCCCCAGCATCCTGGGCAGTTCTCACTAATGCTTTATGAGAAAGTGGCTCTCATTTGCCTAATCCATGACAGCAGCAGAGCATTGGGTTGAACTGGAGGCCTCAGACTCTGAGCCTGCATCACCCAGTGGGTGGTGGGCTTCGCTGTTTCCTCCTTGTGTCTGTTTCTCCATTTTCCATATACTTAGTTACGCATCAGTTTTACTCCAGATCACCACTCTTTGGGCATTCTTTTCATCGCAAAGCCCTAGGGATGAAGCCTGCCTCTGTTTTCTTTGTTTGAAACAGGGAAATTAGGCAGGCATAGCTGCTTTGTGTGCCTTGATAATAGAATTGAGGTGTGTTACCTGCTCAGGAGAAGCGGCATTATCACAGGTGCTTCTCAGTGCCACTCTCACACCCTCTCCCCAAGCATCTGCGGGTCATCCTACGGGGCTCCTGGGCTGAAGGGGCTCAGCAGGGGCCTGGCCTCTACCCCTTACTGAGGAAATGCCTCTCTGCACTGACTGGGTGGAATTCCTTGCTCACTTCGGAGACTCCATCCAGGATTGACTTCTCAGCCCCAGTTGACACCTCTAGTTCCTCCATGGACCTCTAACCCCATCAGGAAGTCTGACAAGTGGGAGCAGGTTGCCCAGTGGGGACAAAGGAGCTGCCAAGGCTGTGGGACTTGTGGAGAGAGCATGGGTGCTGGAGCCTCACCCTGGGCTCAAATCCTGGTTCTAGACACATAGGTATCTTGGGGAAGTCCTTAATCTCTCAGCCCCCAGTTCCCTATCTACAACATTTGGATCATATACCTACTTCATAGGTTTACTGGGAATGAGTGACATATATAAAACCTGAACTACAGAGTACCTCAGTAAACAGCAGCTATGCTCATTTTGGTCTGTGAAATAATTACTTATATCAAGAAACCTAGAGAGAAGAGGATCTGCTCCCCTGGCTTGTCTCCGTCTGCCAGTTTTCAAACTGGGTTCCAGGAGCTACCCTCCCTCCAGCAGCCTTGATTCCGTGGGTTCCAGCAGAGATGGCCCAGGTGGGTCTAGTCCATCTTTGTCAGTCTGAGATTATGTTGGGGTCTGCAGCACTCAGTTTTCTGCTTCCCTGTACCCCTCTGTGTCTGAGCACTTGCATGCGCTTGAGAGTTTGGGGTCAGAAGCAGGCTATTACCTCTAAGCTCTGATTGGTCAGGAGATGTGGCTTCTGTAAGTGGCCTTCTCCTTGGAGGCAGTGACACTGAACACTTGCCTTGCCTTGTGGGTCTCACCTGCAGGTTCTTGCCCCCCATAAGCCCATGAGAATGGTGAGAGTTGGTCTGCCTACCCCCTTAGGTTTCTGGGTCCCGACACACAGTCTTGTTTTAGTATTGTTGAGTTGTGCCGTCCTCTGTACTCCAGCTTAGGGAACTCTAGAGCAGGCACATGAGAGTGGCCACCTGAACAGAGGGTGGGTCCACCCATGCTTCGGAGGCCCAGCCGCTGTGTCTACACTGCTGCCAGGCCTTGAAGCATGGAGAGGGTGGGCTCATGTCTGATGGGTCAGGAGAAAGGGGCTTTCCACAGGATACTGGAGAGCACAAGCCTTTGGCTCAGAGCAGAATTCTTGTTTATTTTGATGGTTAGTGTATCAGGGTTCATATTGTTTTTGGGTTTCTGAATCTAGGAGAAGGGACTTGGGCTCTGGGGTTGCCAGCCTGGGAGGAGGAGCAGGCCCTCCAGCATGCAGCCCTTACCTGAGCATGGGATCACCTGGCATGACTGGTTTAGCAGAGGACCACATCCTGAAGGGTGAGATCCCATCTAGCATTTGAGTCTTACGACTCTTTTGGGTCATGTGCCCCTGAGCTGCTAGTAGTTATCCGAATCCCCAGCACACATGTATTACAACTCATCCCACTGTCAGGAGTCCTGGGAGGGGTAGCCTTCCCATTGGCCCAGGCTACTCTGGCTGGTTTTCAACAAAGGGCTGTTCTGTTGAGTGGAAGAGCATAGTTGGCATTCTTTTGCTGCCCATTTTAGCTGTTGAGTAGCCGTCAGGCACAGGCTTTTTCTGGGGCCTGATCCCTTGTGCACAAGCCTCTCCTTTGCCAGGACCATCTAGCCTGTTAGGATGCAGGTGTCCCAGCATGTTTAGAGGGTAGCAGGAGTCCTTGGGTTTTTGTCTTTGCAGTTGCACTCGGGGTTTGGCCTTGGCTTCCCCTTGTCCTTTGTGCCTCCCATCCAATGCCCTTCTCCTCCAGACTGTGAGTAGCTAGCTCTGGGCCTGGCACTCCCCACCGGGCTCTGACAGGCCCTAAGAGAAGGCTCTTCCCATGTTGTTTGGCACACTCACCTGAGGAATATCAGATACAGTGTCCTTATTTTGTCACCTGTTTTCGTGATACCCTGTGGCTTGGTAGAGAAGCACAGTCATTCCTTAAGTGGTGAATGGAAGGTCACTTAACCTGTGGACTGTGCCTTGAGAGCAGTATCATTCCTCTGTCCCCTCTCGGCTGTCCTAGACACAATCAGCCAAAACTATTGGAGTGTTCTCTCTCTGTTCTCCTTGATAAGCTCTTCCCAGCCCTTTGAGCTGAAGGTAAAGTTTGTCTCCACCTTTCATGTACATGTGTACCAGCCAGCATCAGCTGCTGGGAATCTGTCATTCGGCTCAGATGCTAGTGCTGTTTCCTCCCTTGGCAGCAGCAGCTTCGGCTCCGATGTCCGATCCCTGATGTATTTTCCTGAGCGTGGAAGGGAGGGGTGGAGAGAGGAGAAAGGGGAGGGACAGCCATTATGAGAGTGAGCAAGGACTGTGGAGTGACAGCAGGCAGCGTGGAGCCCAGGAGCCTTTAGACAAAGCATTCTGCGGCGGTTCTGTAAGTGCACACATCCTCCGGTGGCAAGCAGAGCCACAGCTGCCCAGCTGGGGGATTACAAGCAGGAATGAATCAGCAGCTGGGGACACTTGACATCATGGATGCACAAGAGCCTGCCGCTTAGGTTCCCGGAGCAGCCAGCCTCACCGAAGGGCAGGAGAGCTCAAGTATCCCAGCCCTGGCACCTTGGAGGTTGCTGCAGTGTGCATCAGGAGGCCACCCAGGTCCCGGACCGCCATCTAATCTGCAGAGGACTGAGGAGGTGGGAGCCTGGGCTGCAGGGTCACCAGGGCCTCCTAGATAACCAAGCCAGTTGCCCTTGATCTGCTGTGAGGGGCAGAAAGTGCCGGACAACAGAACAACTTTCTCCGAGTCAAGAGTTCTCTGGAGGTGATGTTTTTATAATTGGTTCTTCTTTTTCCTTCCTTGCACCTCTTTTTTTCTCCCATTCTCTTTTTTCCTTCTGTTACCTGTTCTTGCCCATGAGAACCAGAGAAGTAGGTGGGATTGAGCATTCAGCTCAGAACATCCAAGGTCTGCTGGGAAGGGCTGAACTCTTCCTGCTGGCACCACCAGGCTCGTCTGTCCTACCCAAGAAGCATAGTACATAAATGTCCTCTCTCCCCTGCTCATCCTTAGAGGAGAATGGCTCGATCCGGAGGCACCGGGACAACAGTTGCTGTCTGTCACTCATCCAAAGAGGAGCAGCGCAGTAGGTGAACAGACTGAAGCTGCCACAGCTCAGCTGACAGAGCACCAATTCCTTTTTCTCCTTCTTTTACCTGGCTGAATTTTGTCATCTTTAGCCAAGAACTGGGTTTGCTTTCCACCCGAGCAAGCAGGCGAATCACGGGAACAGTCACTATCAGAAGAGGAAAATGGATGCCCAGCCCCCACACAGCAGCCGGGCCTGGGAAGGCAGCCCTTCAGACAGCGCCCTGGCCCAGGCGCTGCCTCCTCCACCAGCGGCTGGAGTCTAACGTGAACTGGGCTCCACCGTGCAGCCAGCGGGGTGCCATGGTGCTGTCTCGGCAGAGCCACACCTGAGCCTGGTCCCCGAGCTCCGGTCCATGCACTGCACTCAGCCTCTCGCTGCCTTGTGCCTCTGAACACAAAGGGCTGGTGGCCATGGTGTGCTTATTCCAGGACTGCTGGGGGAAAACAAGTAAAAGTCTCTTTTCTCCCCCTGCCGTGTCCCATGCTGCTTGGGTTGCATGTGCTGGGGCCCCAAAACAGCCGTGCAGCTTCCCTCCCAGAGCCCTCGCTGTGTGCCTGTGGCTCTCAGCTGCATGAAGATGTGTGCTCTCTCCTGACCAGTTTGTGCTGCAAGGTTGCAGAACTTGCCCCTCGCCCACAGACCCACAAGGGCTTCAGAAGTTGCATGGATGTGAGGCCCTGCCCCGGCCCCCTCTAGTGCCTGCAGAAACAGACTTCCTGAAATACCTCAGTGTGAACACGGACCAGCAGTTGACCCCGAGGCCACTGGGGGTCAGCTCCCCCCGACCTGTAGGCAGAGATCGTGCATGTGCCACCACGGCTCTGGAGCAGCTCAGACTGAGGGGGTATAGAGGGCGTCCATGCCCAAGTTTGGGAAGTGTGTGTGCAGTGCCAGGCTGCCCTGACCTTGGCCTGTCCGTGGAAGAGGAGCTGTGGGTCCTCTGCTCTCTGCTCTCTCATATATAGACTGCCTGCTTTATGGTAATGACTATGATGTGGCAGTGCCATCTGTCTTCCTCTGAGTGCCGCTGCTACCACCTTAATGGTTTTTCCCTTTTCAAGCGTCTGCCGATTCCTGTCTCGTCAGGTTCACGGACGCTGGAGCAGAGCGTCGGGGAGTGGCTGGAGGCGGTGGGGCTGCAGCAGTATGAGAGCAAGTTGCTTCTGAATGGCTTTGACGATGTCCACTTCCTGGTAAGTGCCTGTGGGCCTCCTCGAGGGCAGGTGCTGCTCCATGGAACCATGCTTCCCTGGTCTCCCTGTGGTCCCTGCTGGAGATTGAAACAATACATAGACCTGTATCCCAGGGAGGAGCTGACTGAGGTAATTTAGACATCCAGGAAATCAGCCAGGTGTCACGTGCCTTCTTTCTAAACTCTCTCCCACTCTGTCTCTGCTCCAAGAAACATTCTTTAGGGAGAGCTCTTTGTAAGTCTGCATGCCAAGAAGGAGGGTACCTGATGCAGACCTCTGCCTCCTCCCAGATCTCCCCCTCAGACCCCAGACTGTGTTGTACAGTGAGGCATCAAGGCCATCTTGTTCTGGGTGGGACACCAGGAGTTTTGGTGAACAGGACAGCCAGGTCCTCTCTGGTGACTCCGTATCCCGTCTCAGCTAGATGCTAGAAGTTTCCTTTATTTCCCAAAACTTTGCTGTCAAGCAAGTAGTCACAGAAGCAAAGTGCCTTGTTTCTGGCAAAAAAGCTGCTTCTCTGCCCAGCCCAGGCTGAGCATCTGTGGTGGGGAAGAGGCTGTGCAAGCCTTCTGACCCATGACCTCAGACCAGAGGAGAGGCTGAGTTGGTGGTTTGAAGGATTGGTTGCTTTTCTGAGGTATAATTTTGTATTGTCTTCTTGAAACTCAAGGGGTTAAGAAAGGGGAAATCCTCAGGGTCTGTCCTCAGGCTCCCTGTGGAATAGGGGCCTGGCCAACACCCTGGGCTTAGGATCTGGTGCTCCCTCTGTCAGTCCAGAAAGTAGCTCAGGGCAGGGAGCCCATGACTGTCCCTCTCCTGGAAGCCCTCCCCAAGACATCCTCATGGGTTGGGCTGGGGTAGCACAGCCTGGGCACAGCCAAGCCAAGGGCTTTAGCTCACCTCAGAGGTAGCACCAGCATTGTCAGGGCAGGCATTTAACACAGCAGTGATGATGAGAGCTGACACTTCTCATTAGTGCTCACCATGCACTACATACCGGTCATAGTGGTTTGCATATATTAGCTCACTGAATCTTCTTAGCAGCCCTGAGATGCATGCTAATATTATCATCTCCACTTTCCAGGCACAGTGCAGTTAAGTGGCTTGCTCATGTTCATGCTACAAGTAATTGGCAGGGTAGAAATGTGCACCCAGACACTCTGGGTCTGAGGCAGGCACATGCTCTAAACCACCATAGTACTTGCCTTTTTCTTATAAATGGATAGATATGGGGAGTGGGAATATAATCACTTTTGTGCTTTAAGTCACCTTGTGGCGTGTGTTATCTCAGGACTTTGGTTTGAGGTAAATCTAGCAAACCATTTCCTGTCCCTTCTCCTTGCTTCCTGGCAGGCCTGTTCCCTGCTGTCATGATTCCTGGGAACACAGTCCTGAGTTGCCGTCACTCTGAAGCAGATCTCTACCCCACTACCTTGGTTAAGGAGCAGCAACCAAAGTCAGCCCAGAGCTCCCACCCATCCCCCACTTTCCAGTGTGGGCCTCCCACTGACATGGTGGCATTTGGTTCCTCCTGAATACAGCCTGCCCAGGGAGCTAGCCTGCTACTTCCAGGAAGGACCCTGACTAGGACAGCTCACCTCACCCGGGCCATCTCCATCTCCACCTCTCCAACATTAAACCACTCTTCCAAAGTCAGCACTGGGCCAGTCACTTTTCAGTTTAAAAATATCTGAGGTTTTAAAATAGTGAAAAAAAATTTTTTAATTTAAACTGGGTATACTTATGGTTCCTGTAACCTAACTCCTGACTCATCATATTCCTTGGGAAAGGCTGGCAAACTTGGGGTGGAGCAGGGTGTTCAGCCAGCAGGGGGGCCAATTAGCCCCTGGTGCTGAGTGTTGCCATTTCCCTCTCTGAGTGCACTCCTTCACCGCAGTCTGGCCATCAGGCAGGTGGCAGAGGGTGGTGATGGACTCCACGGAGTGTCCCCTCCCTATGCTTCATTAGTCTAGAGACTGAGCTCTGGACTTCACGCTGCCTTCTACTAGTTTTGGAAAAGGTGATCTTACAATCCTTGAATATCCAACTCATTTAAAACCACTTCCCTGCCCTGAGAGGTAGCTGGGTGGGCCTCTGGGGAGGTCTTGCTGTGGGCCAAATGTCCATGCGAGATGCTGGGCCTCTGTTAGAACAAGTCTGTTACTGTTCTATTCAGGAAGGACAGTTGTCAAGGGAGGCCAGCAGCTCAGTCCTTTGCAGGCCCCTCTTGGTGTCCTGGGTACAAGCTGTTCTTGTCACAGCTCTCAGTCCTAGTGGGGTGGCTGGCAGGTAGAGTCTGTATGAAGAGGAATGTTGACTATACTCCAGGGGAGTGTGTTCCTTCAGACACCTGGAGTGGCCTGACTAGCCATGCTGAGCATCCTGGGTAATGCATGTAAATTGCCAGGTGGGCGAGAAGGCTAATTAAGTCTTAGCAACTAGAAAAAAAGAGGGAAAACCACACAGGAAGAGGGCATTTTTGTTTAAAAACATTCCCTTGTTGTGTATGGTGTAACTTACCTCATGTTAGCTACGGTATATCCTATGTGGCTTGGTTTTCAATAGGCTGCAAATTTTTCCCTTGGTCCTGAAATGCCCTGGAGACTCTTCTACAAGATGCTCAAGTAGCTCTTCGGAAGCCAGGCTCTTGCTGTAGTAGGAACATATGGAGACTGAGGGTGTTTCACAGATGAGACACTGGGTGGAATTTTCCCTCTTGAGAGTCCTACATGTTTGTTGCAGGAGGACGAAGGGCATTTGTGGGATCATACAGCTCTCTCTCAGGGTGGAAGGAACTTCACCATTATGTGGTCTAATCATCTAGGCCTGAATCCCCTCCAGATAATCTCACTGTGATGTTGTTCCAGTGACAGAGGATTCACCACCTTACGAAGTAGTAGTCCATTCATTCTCTGCACCATGTAGGCTGAGCCAAAATCTCTTACCTTGTGGTTTCTCTCCTTCAGTCAGGTCTACCTTTTCTGGGCCACACAGAACACACTTACACCCTTTAGAAAATTGACAGCCTCAGTCATGGCCTCCCAGGTGCTGTCTCATCTAGGTTCGAGGCCTCTTCCACTTACTGTGTGATGACTGAGCTAAACAAACAAGCCTTTCACCTTGAACTTTTTTCACACTCTCTTGCCTGCAGGCAGAAAGGGCCTTTGATTTGCACAGGTCAGGGCACTGGGGGCAGCCAGGCTGAACAGCCTGACAGCAGGCCCTGGGAGCCAGGGCCAGGGAATCAGCTCACACATTTGCCAGCCAGCCCAGCGTTCATGCATTATAGCCATCTCCATTGTCACCACACATCCTGTACACAGGAAATAGATTTTTTAGGTGAAGGGAGGAAATGTATTTAATCAGTGTGAAAGGAAGGCAGTGGGTGGTTGGCAAGTTTGCAGCTCTAAGCATGCTGGTACAGGTCTCTGTATCTAGGGACTGACCTGACCTCCTTTCAGAAGTGTTAAATGTGTAGATCATGGCCCTTCTCCTGCTGGATTGGTACATTGACAATTAAAAGAATGTTTTCAAAGAATGTCTGATGTGGAAAAACAATCACCTTGGACTATTGAATGAAGAAATCAAACCACACAACTCCATATGCCACATGATCTTAATTTTCAAAAGAGAAGATATCTATGCACAGGAGATGCAAAGGAGTAAGCCAGCATGTTTTCTGCAGTTATCTCAGGAGGATTATGGGTGGCTTTATTTTCTTTTTTGGTTGTCACAGATTTTCTGCATTTCCTGCAGTGAATGGATCTGAAATCTGGAAAGCAAATAATGTAGGTGCCTTAAGGAATCTGATGGTCCAGCTGGGAAAACAAGGCACAGAACACAGTAAAAACAACATAGCAGCCAAGTGTTAGGAGTCTTGTCTGGTGTGGTAGGGCTTGGAGGTGAGCACTGCAAGTGCATGGGGTGGGGTGTCATGGAGTCGCAGAAGGAGCCCTTGAGACCTGAGGGGTGGAGGCACTGCCAGTGAGTGGCAGAGCCAGGAGGCTAAACTGTATCTTCCCAGCTTTGAATCACTGGCTAACACTCGCTGTCCTGGGGGTTTGTAGCCCTGGGGAGACTGCAGGGAGAGGAAAGGCAGACAGGGGGACCTGAGCTCTCTGTGTTGAACCAGACGGCAGCCTGAGTGTAATTAGGGGCAGGACCTGACAGGCAGGAGAGGTGGGCTGGGCCGGGCCTGGTTGCAGGGGGCCTTGGTAGCCATCGTGGGGCCCCAAGCTCTCTGAGCTCTCAGTGTGTGTGTGAGGGTCCTCTGGTGGTGCCCCTCACCTTTGGCAGAGTGCCTAGAGTCAAGGTGCACTGTGGTTGGCAGGGTGAAGTTGAGAGTGGGCGTGTGGGCGTGCTGGCTGGCTGGACAAATGGAAAATGGAAATGATCTCAGGATGGGTTAGAAACGGACTGAACTGACAAGCTTGTCACCTGTTACAGCCAGTATCGGGGAAGCCTCTTGCTCCTCCTGTCAGTTTATATCTCCACAAGCTTCTGTGTCGTGCAGATAGGCCCCCCACTGTTATCCTGTCTGTTTCTGAGACTGTGCCGGCTTGTTCCCTCTTGTTGGAGGTTGATGACTGGTGAAGAGGAGTGCGGCCAGAGAGAGGTGAAAGGCATAAGGTCAGGGAGGAATGCCTTATCTGCTTTCTTCTGGGAAGCTTTCCCGCCAGGTCCCGAGACCCTGGAGCTTCCCTGCATGTTCCTGTCCCCAATTTGCTCTGGAGTCCACAGCCCCAGAAGCCGGTTTCCTGGGTGCACTGGGGTGGTACCCCCAGGTCCTTCCCTGCCTTCCCCCACTGCTCCCTCCTCCCTTTGCCTTCTCCCCTCCCAGCTTCAAGGTGCTAGAACTGGCCTTGAAGGAGGTGCTGCCTGGCTCCACTGTCAGGATGCCTCCCTGCCTTGACTTGCTCTCCCTCTTGCTGCAGCCCGCCGTTCTCTCTGCATGATGCCCTAGAAGCTTCTGCTCTGCTGGAATTTCCTGTGCCCCAGTG